CTTAAACACTTCGCGATCCACAATCCAGCCTCTGCTCAGAGTTCCTGGCTGAGGCCAGAGTAGCAACTGTTGACCTCTGCTCATAATCTTATTTCTTAAACCTTCATGCTACCCCTATCCCAATGTTTGGTGTATGCAATATAATCTGACACATGATGCCTTTGCATGTAATCCACAGAGTGTGCATTATGCGTGCCTGCAGAACAAAGAATCATTGTTTTCCATTAGCATACATGAGTATTGTGTAGAAAATAAAATTACTTACGTACTTTTTTGCATCGCAAAAGTAAAATTTGCAAAAATCTCCATGTTAAACTGTAATGTCTGCAACCTTAGGACTTACGTTGGACTTGGGAATGTTTCCGTTAACAATCCCATCTACGATCCTGCTTTTATTATAATAGTGATCATCACTGATCATATTTAGCTTTCAGTGATATCAGATCTGCTAAAGATTTGTGTGCCTGACCACATTTATAGTGCTCACTGCAGCCGAATTGATTTCCATGTAATAACAACCACATGGGCTGTAAAAGCACATTGGGTTGGGGGTTCTTCTTCTGTGGTGTCCTCAGGGAGCAGGGGGAGGGGGGTGTTGCTGACTCAGCTGTTCTGGCTGAACTGAGCTTTAATGAGGGAAGAGTGGAGGACTCTCTGACAGTCACACGCAGGAAGTTTTATATAGACGTAGACACACACACACACACACACACACACACACACACACACACACACACACACACACACACACACACTCACTCTCTTCTGCATCATCTGTTTTACTTCCACTCGTTGTTACTCCTATTCCCGTCTTCTCATTTCTTTCTAATCTTCGTCCTCTCATTCACACATTCTCCCTACATCTCTGGCACCCACGTGCACACACGCACTCCCTCCACAACACTTCCTCCTGCCCTTTGCCCTTTATTACCCCCTTTACTGCGTGTACACATTAGCCCCGGGCTGACGCAAGCTGTGCACATTTATGTAAAGGGCCTGATGGGGGAAAAATAAGCCTTGAGGTCTGTAAATGTCTATTTGTGTGCGTGTGCCCTCGAGAGCCTGTTCCTCTCACCAGGGAGCCTGTCCAGTGTGCTATTAAACTCCACAGCTCTCAGGCTAAATGTGGCTGAAATGAAGGTTTAATGTGCTGGAAAACTGGTAGTTGGATTTGAATTGTGTGTGTGTGTGTCTTTTAATGGATCATGTGGGTGTCTCTGTGATTCTAAATGTAATTGCGTGTGCAAATGCTTCTCTTCCAGTGTGGTCAATGTGGCCATATTTGCATGTACGTGTGTGAGTGTGTCTTTCAGTGTGTGTATATGTTGGACTAGTGTGTTTTTTTTTTTTTTTAGATTTAAGACTTTGATTTTTTTTCCCTTTATGTGAGAGTGGGACAGTGTTACCTTAATGGGCTCAAACTCTTAATAGATCCTGTTTGCATTTACTTTTCAACTTCTGAAATGCTTTTTAGAATAATTTTCAGTAACGTACAATAGGATGTGTGTGTGAAAGACACTTTAACAAATAAAGATATACAACATGGTAAAAAGGCACTTCAAAGCAGGGCTGGCTATCAGGTAGTCTTCTGAATCTGTAAAACTATTCTTATGAGTCAATAGGTAATAGCCATGTGCTTAGCATCAGGGAGTGGACCAATTGCAGCAATGTAAGCGCACGAATTCCAGCATCCAAATTGTCTTAATTTATTGGTTCAGTCATAGATCACAAATCTGTGAGTGAGAGTTTCCCATCCTGGTGTCCTCACAACATTGCTAACAGGTATCCGCTTTAAAGGTTATTGTAGCTGCTATTTGAGTTAAGATGGCGAAACAACAATATTTGCATTTCTCAGTACAATGAAATCGACACATAGTGTATATACAAATCAAAGTTAGAGGGACGAGTGCATGTCCTGTTTCTGGTTCAGCATGAGCAAGAAAGGAAAAGAAACCTAAACATCTCCTTATTGTTTAAATGTTTAAAAAAAGGAAAATATAAATGTTTCGCAACACTGCATAAAGGTCTTGCAATGCTCTGGTAACGTTTTCACAGTTGTAAACTTGTTTTTTTTTTTTAATCTGTGTTGGATGCTCTACTGTGGTGAATTATGACTGTGACTGAGAAAACCCCATACAGTGCATTCTCAGAGCACTCCAGGGATTTAGTATTGCACCGCCATAAAGTTAGAGGACTCGCAAGACAGAGATAAGAAAAAAAAATCAAAGCAGCAGAGGTATCCCTACCTTTAATCCTAGCTTAACTCTAGCAAGGGTTGATTTCCAAAAACACTGAATACTACGATTCCTATAATGCAACGAATAGCATCTGTTCATTAGATGGTCCCTACTTGGTAAATGCTGATATCCTTTAAACTCCAACTCCAGTAACACATGCTTTAGTCGTCTCCAACCCTAAGCCACGATTACTCTAATGACATCATTAGGGTGATTTTCTCACATTTGGCAAAATGTGTGATCTCTGTGTGCCGCATGCTTTCATTTACGTGCAGTGATTAGATTTTGCTTTGCCGATGCTGTGTAGCCGTTCTTGTTCACATTGGCCCCTGCCAACCAAAAACATTATTTTCAGGAATAGGTAGGCTGCTGTCAAATGCAAGTTTGAATTCCTTCTTCTTATAGATGTGGAGCTGGTTACAATTAAGAACCGATGCTCAATACTAATAAAAAAATCTAAGAAAGATTAATCTGCTAAACATTCTGTGCTTTTCAAAGGAGACTTCAAAAAGATCATTACAGTGTCTACATTACAATCTGTATTTCTCTCTCTCTGTCTGTTTTTGGTCAGCTGCTTCTTGCCACGGGGTGTTTGGTCAAGTTTTCTTTAAAGTTCAAGAGTTCTTTCTTTGGTCAGGATCATGTAAATAAACCCAGATGAACTGCAATGATAGCTTGACGATGTTTGAGCTGTTTAACATCCCTGTTTATTTCTAACGCGTGTGCGATATTCTGGGTCAGGAGGTAGTCCTTCGAGGAGGGACGCTATCACAGTCATGACTCTACATCATATCTCTCGGCCAGGGACACTTGGATCACATTCTTTGAATTGGCAAACGCTGAATGGATTTTTCATTTTCTCCTCGGCTAACTGAAGCCAGCTGAACACACGCTGGCCTGGTGGCAGTCACAGAGGGACAGCGTGAATCTCATCTTTAATCTAATAAAGGGGCTCAGTAAAGGCTGGAATTAATCAGATCTGTAAAGGAAGAAGAGGTTTGAAGGGTAAATGTGGGGGGAAAATGTGGAGCAATTTTGAATGGGGAGAGGATATGATTAGACATATTATATCTCTGTGGTCACACATAAAATAGAGTTTGGACTTTATGTGTGGCCCTCATGGATTTAAGCAGGAGAGGACCACCGTGTGTTACATATGCCAGGTCAATTTCCTGTAATTTTTCTGTATCCAGGTTCTTAATCGTTAATTATGATTTACTGAAGCAATTTTGATTGTTGAGCAAATTATAGTTCTGATTCACGACCTCACAACTGATTGGGCCGAGTTGGTTTCAGGCTGGATCAGTTGTTGTAAACGGGCAGGAGATAAGATATTAATAATAAATCTCAGTGGAAATGTTGGAAACATGTTTGAGTTTTGCGACTGAAATTGGGACACCAATGACTTTCTTATTCAAAACACTGGAAGAAAATGGCGAGTAAACCCTTGTTGGTTGTAGGAGGTTTTGATAATCATAATGTCTGACATGATGCCAGATTCGTTATATCATCATCGTTAGCTGCCAGGTACAGGTTCATTTGACTATAATCAGTGGTTGCCCCAGCTAACGTTTGACTGAGTTGTTGGTATTAGATTATGTGTAAAATGAAGTTCCTTTTTTTACAGCCACAGATACAAGGGGAATAAACAACTAATTTACATGTTGAAAATATTCTTTTTCCACTTTATCATTTGTTCTTGAAAACACTTGTCTAGGAGTGAGCAGCTTAAGATTGGCATATACTGTAGGACTTGAGCCCGTTTCTGATCCGATTTACAAGCCGATTTACAAGCTGCATGACTCATTTTTAGAGCCGGGCCCCGTCTGCCTAGGCACTTAGTCCATATACACCTCTTTTTTTTTAAATTTAATTTGTTTTAGAAGTTTCGGCACACAGAACAGCACAGATGATGAAAGTTTCTGCTTTGGTAGCATCTTCTTACCTGCTTCATAGCTTTCAAATGAATCTTTATTTACTTAAATCATACACAAATTAGGACTTGATTTATTTATTAACATGTTTATTTTGTTGAGGAAAAGAGACAAAAGCTTTTATTTAATTTTACTCATGCATATTTGTTCACAAAGATTTTATCATAATTGTTTTGAATGTTCTACCTCAGATTTGTGAAGTGATCCACTGTTTGGCTTCAAGAGTTGACCATGAAGAAGAGTTTAAACCACAATTAACCATCAGGTTTCTTCAACTTTCACTCAGGAGCAAAAATCAGCCTTTAAACTCGAAAGAAATAACGATTTGATACTTATCGTGATAATTATCGTTATCGAAAGATATTAAACTTTTTTTTACAGTATGAACACTGTACGTGCATTAAAGGCTTATTACCACACATGCTGCAAAAGCAAAACTTTTCCCTACAAACCGGATCCACCTTCTGTTCCTTTCCTTTTTTTTTAAAATCTATTCTTTATTTAAGGATAAAAAATTTCTTAGATTCATACAGTATGTCTTTGTTTTTGTCCCTTTCTTTCTCTTTTTAATTGTAATTTATCTCATAATTCAAGATTATCCTTGTGCATGGTTTCATGGTCATGGTCATCATTATTTGGGTTTCAAGCTTTTTTCGGCAAATAGAAAAAAAACCCTTTTCATAAATGTAATTCACTTTTCAGTAATTTTTTTGTACTTTTTCCGCCAGTTCCACATCTTTCTGAGATCTTGACTTTTCATTATAGTCATTTGATGCAATATAAAGCCAACATGTTTCTCAAATCCAACATCTTCTGATCCCTCCTCCAGTTGATAGCAGTGTACGACGAACAGGAGCCCCATCATGGAGGCGATGGTACCAGTGCCAGCTCCACAGGGACTCAGAGCCCCGACCTGTTTGCTGCAGACCTCAGTGCTAGCAGTGGAGCCTCGGCCTTCCATCCCTACCAGGTCGCCAGTGAGATCGAGGTCACGCCTTCCGCCCTGCGCACCAGTAAGTCCCAACACTGAAAGGGGGGAAAAAATGGGAATCAGGCATACATGTGGCTGTACTGAAGACCATTGGGTGATCTGTAGAAGTATGCATTATTTGAAGAGAAGGACCATATCTAAAGATGCGATCAGGAACTAAAACATTCACTCAGCAGGTGATTAATATTTGAGTCAATTCCTCTTATATTCCTCTGAAATTACAAATCTGTCGTCCTCATTACTGTCAAATATCAACAACTGCTGCAGTACACAGCAAACCCAGCAAATTACCTTATCACAGCACCGCGGTACCTTAGCCCTGTCCATAAATTCTGTTAATTGGACAGGGGGTCCTTTTTTCAGGCACAGATAGCCGGTTGATCCCCGGCCAAAGTGGCTAATTGGTTCTATTTGATGCCTCCTAAATCAAATGTGACGCTGAGCCCGTCCACCTCTGCAGTTTTGCTGGCCAAGTCGCTTTTTCTACTGTAATTACTGTGAGTTCGGATGGGAAACTGACTCTTGGAGGTAATTTGTCAATTTGGATCAAGCGAAACCTTTTGCGCTCAATCACAAGCTGAAACAAACAAGCATACACACACAGAGAGACAAACACATACTTTCTCTTCCTTCTCAGGTAGTTCTCTTTTTCTTTTACCGCATTCTTCCTATGTCCCTGCAGGTCTGTATTTATGTAACTACTATATATATATATATATATATATATATATACACACACTTTCCTGCTGTAAGTCTCCTTATCAATAATAGTGCAGTGCCCATTCACAGGGGCCGATGTGGATGCTCTTTTTAGACATATGACATAGGTTTCCCCTACAGCATTATAACACTTGGCAAAGATACTGCTTGATATTCAGCATTTCTTTAAAACTTCATAAACACATTTGTTTTAAAACGTATCTAAGTGGTTCCCAAAGCCCAAGATGACGTCCTCAAATATCTTTTTTTTTGTCCACAACCCAAACATTTTCACTATTCGCATTTAATTTTTTACTTATTTCCTCAAAAAATAACTCCCAATCGATTAACCAAATTGCTGGTTAATTTAATAGTTGAAATCTAATCGAATAATCGACTAACTGTTGCAGCTCCACCCTTGTGTCCGCAGCAACACACCCGCCACGTGTGAGGTCGATTGGATGAACGGTTGTCAACATAATGAAATACAAGCACACAAACACTTTTTTACTTTTAGGAAAGAGCATTCTTCATCCATCCATCATCAACCGCATATCCTGCGTACAGGGTCGTGGGGGGCTGGAGCCAATCCCAGCTGACATCGGGCGAAAGGCGGGGTACAGCCTGGACAGGTCGTCAGTCCATCGCAGGGGCCACACATAGACAAAACAAACAGTCACACTCACACCTAAGGACAATTTAGGGTCACCAATCAACGTAGTCAGCATGTCTTTGGACGGTAGGAGGAAGCCGGAGCACCCGGAGAGAACCCACGCAGATGAGGGGAGAACATGCAGACTCCACACAGAAAGGCCAGGACGACCATAATTCGAACCCACGACCTTCTTGCTGTGAGGCGACAGTGCTAACCGCTGCAACATCGCCGCCGCCGAAAGAGCATTCTTACTCCTTAGAAATACTGACCCTGCCTTTTTATTTCCCCTTACACACGCTCCAGTGAACAAGTTAAAAATAATCTACTTTTTAATTTTATTAGCACTCAAATACACCACTGGTTGCAGTATGGCTTATCCACTAATGACCTGTGAGCTGGCACTGATTGACACAGCAACCAAAATCTCTCCCCTCTCTCACACACACACACACACACACACACACACACACACACACACACACACACACACACACACACACACACACACACACACACACACACACACAGAATGTGAAGGAGGTCACTCCCCTGCTAATTGGATTTCTGGATGAGATGCTGAATGTGAATTTGCAGTAAGAAATGGAACTCTCGGGCATAATCACACCTGCCAGTTGTGTCCAATTTAACCGTTTCCATAATACATTCTAACCTTGTTTAATTGACGACACTGAATCTCATCAGCTGACTTCTATTGGATTTTTAAGAGAAATGTCTGTCGTGGAAGAGAAGGAATTTGATTACATTTTTTTTCACGAGCGTCTAATTAGAAAAGCTTTCAATTACTGATTTATGTTGGACAAGATGAGTGGCGCTGGACTCTGTGGGTCTTTGCCAGTTTTCTTGTTCGGCCCACAAAATCAAAAGAAAAGTGATTAAGCTTATTAGACAGAGACCTCTTTTGAAATTCACAAATTGATTGATGTTACTTTCTTGGCTTTGTTAAACTCTTGCAGACATGGAAATGCTGATGAAAGGACAATGCCACTGTTGTGAATATGTGAGGTTTTCAAATGCCAATTTGAAAAGTTAATTTCCAAAATGCTTTAAATATTCTGGGAATAAAGTAATACTTGAAGTTCATAATCTCTCTAAAATGTAGTAAGACAGTCCCTGATATTCTTTGTTGTTACTTTTCACAGTTCATATTTGCAGGCTAAAACTCTTCATTTTATTTGGAAGGATGTTGTCAGTGAACTATCCTGTTGTTTTAAATGTTCAAAATGTTGAAGTACATTTGCATTTGTTTGGAGAATAAAAAAAGAAGCTAGAAACATTTTACAGAGAGCAAAAGAATGAAAAGTCAAAAGGCATTGTTTCGTTTCTTGATTGTCTTGTTTAATTTAATGACAGACTGATGCATTTGGTGTTTAAAATTAACACAGTTCTCTGCAGTACTAACGACAGATGCAAAGAAAATCCATTAAGGACAACAACATCAAATTGTGCTTACTGTTTCTCACTACTGACTGATTCTAATTGTGTTTTGAGCATGTAGTGTGTTGGAAATCATATAAATGAGGTATATTCAAGTCAGTATGGTTAGTAAGATTGCTTAATTTTTGAGTGTGCTCTAAATGGACAATCTCCAACAATGCATGCACAACTGAAATAGACTGGACAAAAGTGGAACATTTTAAACCAAATTGTAGAGAACTTTGGGAAACAAAAAACAAAATCTAAAATTGTTGTTTTACTGACCGCAAAGTAATCAAAAGCACATGGCGGGGTGTTCTGATACACAGATAAAGTGGATTATTTCAAATATCAGAACAACTTAGAGTAATTATCATGCCATGGGAAACATAGGAAAACAATTTAGGCCATGTTCAAATCATGGACTCTTTCTTTCAAAGTTTAAAAGTTCAAAGTTATTTTCACAAAGTCAGCTTAAAGGGGTACTCCTTTAATACAGTACTTTCATAAAGTTGGGGGACCCACAAGAGAGAGTTTGAAAAAAAAAAAATCGTAAGGAAAAAAAACTGCGGCCAGGGTGTCCTGACCATAAGACCATAGTAAGGGTCAAGAACATTTGCTCCCATATTTCCCACAATGCAACTCAGCTGCATCTTGTTACACTGTCTGGAAAGTGCCCATCTCTTATAAACGCCAACACTTTCAGTTTGTAATGCAGGCTTTCTGTTAAGTTCGCAGCGTTTAAGTCCAAGCTAAGACAACTGGGGTGACACCAGTATGACGTCATTAGAGGGGGGAACATGAGAGACTTGACAAAATCCCTTCAGAGTAAGAGGCTCAGGAGAAGGCTACTAACCATGATGAATAAACTGATGTGTAAAATTGGTGGACATTTAAGTGATCCCACAGCTCAGGGCTGTTTAGGTCCCACGCCCTGGGTGACCCAACAACACTAGTCAAGTACATGAGTCTACATATGCGCACACACACACACACGCAGCCAGATTGTCAGCACATACTGAAGCTGTTGGCTCAAATATTTCCAAACACATGTCCACAGGTTTTCCTTCACACAAAATACAAACTCATCACTAACAGACATTCTTGCACAATAGTTCATAAACACACGCACACAGGGCCCCTTCAGTTTGCAAAAATGCACAGAGCTAAACAAACAAATTAAGTATTCAGAGACACGCATACTGACCTACAACCTCCTCGGTTTATCAGAGAGTACACACACATGCAGATGGACGTACTTTATCTTGACATGCACTTGTCTTGTCTCACAATACACACTTCAAATGACCGTCGACTCAGACTCCTCTCTTTGGACAGATTACAGTATTTCCTGTATGAACACACACCACCATCCAAAACAGAGTTTTAGCAGTGGAACGTCCGGGAAAGGGAACATGGGAATGTGACACTTGGCGTTGTCATCTGAAGACGACGCTCCGGCTTTTTAAACACTTTTAGTTTTTCGTTTACACTCCATCTCTCTTGTGTGGTCCGCTCGGTACATTTCTGCCAGTCAAATCTGCCTGTGGGATTTTGGAGAGGTCTGAAAGTGGGAGATTTTGAATGCCATAACATTGTATCTTGTGTTACAAGCGTTGCCCTTGTTGGAGGTGTTATTTGGACCTTGGACCTTGGCCCACTTCCCACTCACTGTAACTTTTAAACAGAGTGAAGAGTTTTAATGGAAGGCATCCACTTACACTGGTGTTTCTCAATAGGCTCTTCCCCATATTGTTGTTCCTACACAGTGTCTGCTGCATTGTGTTATGAGGCAATACACTGACCGTAAAGTAGAAACTAGATGGCTGCCTCATTAAACTTTTAGTGATAAATCAGATTATTGCACAATGTGATGACAATGGAATCTCAGTGATTAATTGCCTTTATTAGCCAACAATGTTTATAGCACAAAAGTTCTTCCAGCCTATTTACATCAATCATCCCCTGTTTCGAGTCTTATCAACTACAGCAAGGGGTATGCTTTTTTTAATGTGTTTTATTTTTTTTATTTTTTTTTTTTTTACATATATTGCCAATGAGCCGCTTTCCTAAAAACAAGTTAAAATTGCATTATTTCCTCCCATATGGAAAAGCAGCCACATTTCTGTCTGTATCCAACCAAGTTAAAATATTCCTCTAACGCCCTTGCTGTCCTTCCTGTCTCCCAGATATGCCCCTCCACGTCCGACGCAGCAGCGACCCTGCCCTGCTGACCATCAATGGGCCGTTTAGTGGCGGCGAGTCAAGGGGCCAAGAGGAAGAGCCGCCATCAAGGAAGAACCCAACTCGCTGGTCCACCACTGCTGGCTTCCTGAAAGTCCGCCACTCCTCTGGCACCAACAGCCTCGAGAGGAAGGTGGGTGGCTGGTTGCAAACAAAGGGCTAATTCAAAATGATTTTGAGGGAGGAAACTTGAACATTTCAGCAAATGATCCTTTCTTCACTAACACATAAAACTCTTAAAGCGAGTCCCAAGCAGCCTTACCCCGTTTACTGGTGCTTACTGGTGCCTGGTGTGGGAACACATTTTGACAAACAAATGCAGGTTTCCATTAAACACCTGGTTTAGTTTTTTGGATGTATAAAACCTCTTAAACCCCGCGGAGTCGCCCGCTTTAGCTGCTTCTAAGCTGCTTAGATCGTTAATCCAAATATTAATGTTTAAACTTCTGATCAATATGTCAGGATGGACATTGTTAGATTCTCCACAATTCAATAGTTCATTTGAATTCTCATCCTGCTCTGTGGTGTTGTTGTTGTTGTTTTCGTCCCGTTGCTGCCTATGAAATAAAAGCTAGATCAAATGAATGACTACTAAGTAATATTCATACTGTTGGAAATAAATAAACTGTTTCATTAGTAGCCTATTTCAGTTTTGTGCGAAAGGAATTAAAGGCATGTCCCATATGGACACCTTTCCCAAATATATGCAGGGTCAATTGAGTGAATTTGAACTTTACCTTCATAACAACTTTACTTGTAGCGGGTAATTGGCAACTTGTGACTGTCTATTTGTAGGTGACAGCCTATATTCCCAATGCTTTTTAAAATTAATTTCAGAACCAGTTGATTAAAGTAGTAAATACATTATACATGTATTAATCAAAAAGAAAATAAGTATTTACTAAAGGGAAAATAAGCATAAATTAAACCAAATTCAGAATAGTTTAATTGGAAAATGTGGAAAGAGTGTCAATCCTGGGAAAAAGTTAGACATGACAATATTGGTATTCATTATAAAACCTTTGATTCCGTATCATTGCAGGGTAAAGGTATGGACACGTACCGCAGCCTACCACGAGATGCAGGGACATGGGCCAATCAGAGAGAGTTTCAGAGAGAGACTGCCCGTTCATCACTCAGCGCCAATCACCCCATGGTGGACCGCTGGCTGGAGAGACAGGAACAGGTAGGACCGTAGTTCACTAAGGGGTAGACAAATTGGACATCCTTCTTGCTGTGTGGAGGATGCTTTCATGTAGTGTCGTACACTACCACGAGGCCATTGTTTTTCTCCCTGTCTGGACATGGAGTGAACACTTTATACGTTCAACTATCTAGCGTTCAGAGATTTACAGCCGGCCTCACCTTCCACAGTCCATCAGCCCTAAGCTCTGTGAAATTCTGTCTGAGTGGCCAAGATCTAGTCCAGAGCCCGAACCAAGTTCTGTCACTCCCCTGGCCCTCAGAGAGGAGGTTAAAAAGTGAGGAATTTCCACCATAAATCCTCAATGACACATAAGTCATGGAAGGAGTAATAACATTATGTAAACACGGTAAAAAACATAAGCCGCATACAGTACATATGGTCCTGTTTAAGTCGATATATAAAACATTGCCAGGGTTGGAGCTCTGATCCTACTGAGGTCATGCACGGCATATGATAACGTATCATGACCCACAAGGAACGTTCAGTTCATATTTGCAGAGGTTGTATCACAAAACAGATGTGATTTCTTTCATAATATTACTTACTGCATTAAATAAAAATGGAGCACTGTTGTGTAAATTGGCGTGCGCGCACAATCACTGACCGATTACTGTCTTATCTTTTTATGGGCTGTTGGTTTTGTTTGTCTAACATCTGTTGTGGTAAGATATCTGCATTACACTCTAGGTTTAATATAGGGGGATTTTGTAAGTGTTATATTGAGATAATGATCTGAACACATACAAGTTGATATAGTTATAATTTGCTGTAGGGGCACCCAGTGTGTAGTATACAATATAAATCCAAACGGTACAAAAAAGAAAGGTTTAGGCTTTTAAATCTTCATCTTTTATTAGAATTATTTGAGACTTCGTTCAAACGGTGACACCGGTAAGTAGGACACTCACCAGTTGGCCAGGTGAATAACTGAATAACTGATTTAATTTATATCGTTCCATTTCCAGTATTTATTTATTTATTTTTTGCCTTTCTTCTCCCACAAGCAAAAAACAATGGGCTAATTTTATTTTTATATTTATTTTACAATGCCGGTTGCTTTTTTGTTTGTCAACAGCGATATATTTTATTTTCATTCAAGCTCATGTTGAAACGGATTCATTGAACTCGCTGAACAATTGTGTGAAAATGGTTAGCAATGTGTTTTATGTGTTTGTCTCTTTGGAGTACAAATACAGATTACTTGTTAGATATCTTGTCTAATGCAGGTGCAGAATGTACATACATGTTGGTGGCCAGTTGACTTTTGGCTGTAGTCTAGTAACAATCTAGCAACAGCAACTTTTAAAATACCTTTTCAAACATGCACAGCATACTTATATTTTAATTCATCATCTTAAGCCCTTAGTGACTCTAGTGCCGTTTAACTCAAACTTGTTGTTGTTTTTGTTATAGAAGTTTTAGTAAAACAGTTTCTTCCACTGAATGGTGAAGCGTACGAGTTATATCGAAGTGTGAAGCTGCACCGTTTGCCTCATCTGTCTTACACCTGGTTTAAGTGGTAGAGGTCACTGCAGGATGGTGTAGTTGGTATTAATGAAGGCCATCTGCTCTCCTCTACTCGCACCCACAGACGCACATACACGCTCACACACACACGTCCCCCACCATCAGCTAGTCTGCTGACAGTCCTCACAGTGAGACGTGTGTGTGTGTGTGTGTGTGTGTCTCCATCGTGTATTTACTGCTGCCTGTCTCAGTCTGATAGTGAGAGACAGATTGTCGACTGAGTGTCAAGGTGTGTATTTTTGCTGCACAATGCTGATGATACACAGGGCAACTTTTTGAGCAATGTTGCTGGTGGCAAGTCTGACTATGTTTTGAACGGATAGCTCTGGGTTGCTCTAAAAGTGTACCATTCGCTTAAGTGTACAGGTGGCGTGTTTGCATGCATGTGTGGCAGCTGGTCCTGGACGAGCTGAGCGAAATTAAAGGAAAAGATCATTTTTCCATTATTATTCTCATTTTCATTGAAAAACACATGGACATGATTTATGCTGTGATTTTTGAGAGCATTGGTACCAAAGAAAGATGTAAAAGTCTGTAGAATATGATATGTAGGCCAGGACCCCTGTGCAGCTAGACGGTATTTAATTTAAAATGGTGTTTTTAAAGACTTTTCTGCTACAGTATTGCACCTCCTGTGTGATTTGAATTCTGTGGGAGACCATATTGTGATTTTGATAAAATTTCGATTAGTTGTTCAGCCCTTGTGGCAGCACAGAAAATGGGCCTGTCAGATAGTCTAAATTTATGTTGCTTGATTGTATGTGATGTCAGATGTGTTCTTATGAATGACACGCACTAGTTTAAGGTCTCACAAGCTGTTGTTGTTGGTCAGTCTTGTGTATGGAATCTCTCTGCTTGCTGTCACTGTTTTATGTCACAATGATTTAAGCACCACTTAGCTGACTTCGTTCCAGGAGGGATGTTGCAACTCTGCCGAGAAAATATTCGCTTTTGTTCCAGACTTGATAATCAAACAAAAGAATAGATGAGAAACCCCAGACTTCAGAAAAATCTCTTTTGTTAGAAGCAATGTTCTTTCAGTATCCACTGTAGATTGTAGACAGTTGTTGTTTACTCTACTGTCTATGTTATTATTATTGTTGTGATGGTCAAATACCCCTACTTAACACTATATTTAATTTTGTTGTTGAATACAGAAACAGCCAAAGGAGACTTTTTTTTTCTGTATAGCAATAGACAGATGAGTGTGAAGTTGTACAGGTTCCGCAGCAGCTAAAACATCCTGACAACAAAGGTTACAGATAAAAAAGTAAAATAAAGGGGCAAATAAGAACAAAGCATCAAGTCAAATTTATAGTGTGTCCTGTTATCAGAATTGATTTGGGGCATTTCATGCATCTTTAATGACCCTACAGTTTGTGAATACTTTCCAGACCTCCTCTGCAGCTCATTACAGCACCAATAAGAATTCTGCTATGACACATTTCACCTAGAGAGCTTCCAGTAGTTTATTAAACCTTTGATAAGAGTGTAAAATGGTATGGGAATGAAAAATATTGTAGCAAGAATAGAATATGCAGTGATTTAATTAGAATAGAACAGCTTGGAATGATGAATTAAGCAATGCAATTTCCTCAAGTTAGTTTCATCTTATCTTCCTAAAATGAATAACAGAAGAGAATGAAATGAAGAGAAGAACAAGAATAGAGCGTCACATAATGAAGCATGCACTATTTTACTCCCGTGGAGAATTCGGCTTCTCTCATAACAAAATGTACAGAGCAGGGCATTGCTTTGCACAGAAGTGAGCCAGATTAAATCGCATTGTAATGAATGACACTATTCTCCATTCCCAAGTGGGTATTTGTGCGTGCCTGCAGCAGCACCGCGGGCTTCCTGACACACAGTGAAAATTGAACTGCAATAGTTTTGAGCTGCGCTCACAAGCCCCTAAACTCCCAGCCCCCTTTGGCAACAGGTAGGAGGTCGCCATGGCAACAGCGAGCTGTCAGTCGAGTGTATAATAATGAGTGCTGGTTGGAGGTGCTGAAGCTGCGTAGAAAGAGGTCTGCGCTGTGTGTGTGTGTGTGTGTGTGTGTGTGTGTGTGTATTTGTGTATTATATCCATGCATTGACAGCGTTTATGCATCTGTGTTGGTTTGATTATATGAGTCCATCCATTAATGTGTTTGTGGCACCATGAGTGTGTGTTCACATTTATGACTGTGGCTGTGTGTGTGTGTTTTGTGTGTCAGCTGTGAGCATGTGTCAAAAATGCAGGCAGCCACAGACTTGGTTGCAAATCAACCAATTAAGAAGAAAAGCCACAAGCTGCTGCAGTGCGAGTGTGGACAGGTGAACCGCACACACAGCACACACACAGCACACACACACAGGCACACAGCCTGTATCCCGTCTGGGTCAGTCTTCACCTCTGAGGGAGACATGTCATGGTGTGTGTGTGTGTGTGTGTGTGTGCTTGTATTTGTTATATGAATCATTTTCTGTTCAGTATTTCCTCTTTGTGTTCTTTTAGAGACACATGTGTGTTGTTTTGTGTGAGAATGAAATTTAACAGTACCCCCCTCAGGCTATGTATAAACGTGTTTTGTGTGTATGTGTTTGTTTCTGTCCAGTAAAAACCACCAGTTTGATGATTTTTGAACATTTTCAGATACACTACCATATTGAATACACCTTTATGGATAAAACTACATCTTTCTTTCTGATTCTTAGGCTAGAAAAATCCTTCAAAACCTCAAAATACATAGTAACAAGCAAGACTGCTTTTTGTACTTCATGAAAATTTGATAAGCTGGAGATACACGGTTTTCACAGGACCGCAGAGGGTTTGTGTCTGTATGTTCATATCACGCCTGGAGGTCTTCCCCTGAGGTCTAACAACACATCTAGTCCTGATACCTGGAGCTGGAGCCAGAAAGCATTAACTCAGAGAACCTGGATTCTCCTCTTACAGCATTACAAACACTCAGACTTACTGTCAAACTCAAGCACACATAACGAGGTATGTGTCCAAACGAAGATGAATATGCCTCTGCTCCTTGGATTAATGCTCTTTAAATTATAAATAACTTACTTTTATTTATACATATGTGAATACAAAAAAGGGAACAAAACCACACAATGAATCACAAACAACTGAATTCTGGTGTATATAGAAAAGTAATGCAGTGGTTTGTTAAAATAGAAGAACTGGGTGGTTGGTCTGAAAAACCATAGCTACCATGGTTGAGGAGACAAAAGAACAGCATGAACAGAAAGTCAATTTCATTTCAACTGAAAATTCAAAAGAACAAATGCCACAGCAGTGAACAGCCTGGTTGATTGACAATTGAAACTTTGCAAAACGGCAAGGCTAGCTGAGCAATAAAAATGTTTTACAAAAATAAGAAATGTATTTTAAGATAATGAATTTGAGTTGAGGGCATTTGCAGCGTTCAACCAGTGTTGCCTTGACTAGAACGACCCAC